TTTTACCAAAACCTAATCAAATCTGCGCATTGGCCCAGAGCATCTATGCACCAAGTTTCATCAAAAACTGATGTATGGTTCTTGAGATATCAGTGGAACAGACGGACACACATACACACATACAGACACACTAACTGCAAAGACTCCCTTTTTGTGCTTCGCCCACGAACATGCATCTATACCTTAATTAGATTAAATGAACAAATAGAGAGAATGATAAAAATTGCAATACCTGTATATCTTCAATGCCAGCTTTGAATTTAGAAACAGACACCTCCATATCACAATCACCTGCATAACTACATGTAGTAGAAAACATAGGAATTTATCATTTGTCTTTTTGTCATATTTGTAAGGGTTTTCATCTAACCATGCAATTATATAATAGTTGTAGTGCTACCACTGATTTATTTGAGCAGAATTAACATAAATAAAATGTTCAAAAAGATAAGGATTGATTTGAATACTTACAAGATGTCAAGGTCCATAATAATTTCATCTCTTTTTGTGCGCTCAGTGTATACTTTCACACCTCCAATTCTTAAAGGCTAGCGAATAATATGGAATAATAAATATCAAATAAAATAAATGAAAAACATAAAAACAAATATCTTAATTTATAGTAAACAGGCCTTGTGTCTGTTGTCATCCGAATTCACAACATGCTTGGAATTTGGAATGTCCTAGAAATAGGCAAATAATGAAATATGTCAATACTAAGAATGATTTCATTAATACAAGAATGAATGATTACATTTTTAATAATAATATATAGAAATTGGCAGTTGCTAATTATCAAACCAAATACTTCAAGCAGTGGTCATCTGAATAGGTTAGTTAAAATAAAGTGCCACAACTTAATCAGTTTTTTTTTTTTGTATATGTGGTATACATTTGAGACTTGTGTCAACTGCCAATGCTTTAAGTTCTATGTATGTAGAACATTCAAACTACCAACATCTGACGGAAAACATGAAATTCAATTTAATAAAACATTATGTAATTAACATCTCAAAAAATGTAACTGGAAACATTGCATAGCTTTTGTTTTAATCAGCTAATCAAATACTAAAACAAACATCTTACATCTAGCAATGTAATATATTGCATTCTTATTTCTGAATTTAGTAACTAAAACAAAAAGATATTCTGCTATAATACGCTGAAGCCGAAAGCAGAAAAAGAAGTTCAAAATGAGGTGGCAAGAAACTGAATAAAAACAAAATATATTTCTATTGTTGACACTAGAGGGCACTTACCTTATTGCCAAGATCAATCTTTACAAACTTAAATGATAATGACGGCACTGATTCCCTGATGGATGGCTCCACTGTATTTTTCAAAATATTTTCCACATAATCATCGAGATATGGCCATATTCGTTTCACTATCTGTATTGAAAAAGAAAACACTCAATATTTCTTACTTGAATCTACGTTCACAAAAAATACAAGCTATATTTTATCGTACAACAGAAGCTTGTTTAAATCATGGCAAATGACTTCCTAAGATCAGACCTGCCCTAGGATGAGTGTTACCATGGATAGGGAAATTCTCTGGGCAAACCTACATCAGCTCATGGATGCCACATTGAGAGTAAATAACTTGGTAATTGCGAACACCTAAGTGAACTTTATTTGTCATCAGTGTAACAACAATTGTATTCATATCAATAACAATATATAACTTTTTCAGCTCAAATATGAAAGCAAAATTTTGAAATATGAAGAAATATAACAGAAGCCGAATTTAAAGATGAAATGTAATTTGCCGCCCAAAAATGTCAAAATTCATTTTCATTATTATAATATGAGGTTATTACAAGGATACTGCAAAGTATGCACAAAGACAGTACAAAGGGAGTATGTCTGAGTGCATACTTTGCAGTATCCTCATAATTACCTTATTATTATACATCTTTTCCTCCCAGGAATACATCATGGGAATGCCGAAATCCAAAACGTTCAGAACAGATTTAACTTCTTTGTGTGGAGTCCGGTCAAACCCTGGGGGCAGCCATGTTTGTTTTTTTATTATTAGAGGACGCTTATGCATGTAATCATTCCATATTTGGAATTCGCATTTCCTAATATAGCAGAATGAAAATACCCCCTAAAATACCGCAAAATTACGATACGCTGTAACTTAAGGTGTTATGGTGCCAGATGTATAATAATACATAGTATGAATGATCCAATCTATAGACTAAATAAAATATGGTTAATAAGACAAATGTTGTACGTGTATATAGTTTTCATATGCATTACAGTTCAGTGTATCTTACACACATTATGGGACCATACTGCAAAGACTATGACACTTAGACAGACAGAATTGTCAGATGGCACAGAAGTGTAATAAATACACAAAATCACCCATTCACTGAATGTAATGCAAGTGGCACCAGATGTGCTGTCTCATCTTTATGCCTTGTAAAATACTACTAGAGTTCATCACAGGGTCATAAAGTATATGTGAAATAAGATATTCAAGAATACATAAATTTTATACTATATTTAATGAAGTAATTACATACTTCATACATGTAATCCCCAACACAAATTAAAAAAATATGCATTCTGGAATTACATATAAATTACAATGTATCTTCTATATAGCTAATTGCCAATAACAGAAATCTTAATTGTTACTGTGTGTGTGTCGTTTTGTCTTAGATTTGTATATATTTGTAGAAGCCACGCCCATTCCTTTTTAACAAATGTGAATCAGAAATGCATCATTTCTCATATGCAGGAGTTTCACAAATGCATTTAATAGCAGGCCATCATCCTGTAACAACAGGCCAAAATAAATAAAAAGGCTCTCAGCAGTGCAAAGCGCTGCAGCGAGACCGGTGTAGGTGGGGGAGACCAGAGAGTAGACTGCTAATTTGGGCTTGTAGCCAGCCATATGGCCGGCTCGTAACGAAACCCTTGCATATGTGTAGATTCTCTAATAGAGGCCATATCCCCACTATTGCATTGTAGCATTTTAATAGAAACTGTGGCTTCTAATACAGATTTTACAGTAATATTTAAATGATATAGGTGTGTCTATAGTCAAAATAAGTCATACTGATCCAGTATAAAATACATACAATTTATCTGTGCTTCTTTTTGAAATGTGCTTGTAAACTAACAAATATGTAGTAATTGGAATACATAACATACACTGTTAAATCTAAGACAAACTGTGTTGTCAAACTATAGACCATTGTACTGTGACGCCATACGTTTACATTTTGCCAATGAGCATGCAAGTATCTTGATAACAAAAGTTGGATACCAAACAGCAATAGCTCGCAATCTGCTGTGACAATGTTGTCCACAAACTGTTTTATTAACAGGGACACATACATGTATATTTAATATCAACATGTGATCATGTGTGCATTACATGTATCTGTATATACTGGTACCAGAAATGAAGATGGACATGAAAGTCAACAAGACACTAGCATGTTATACTCTATGCACAAAAAATACATGGATACAAACAGAGATGCAGATTATACCCATTACTGAAGTGGACATACTGTGAAGACCATGTACATATTGTTTCATATCATGCCAACACACACTCTCTGCAGACATGTTAATTTGAACGCTCAAAGCAGGGGAGTCATCGCCCGCACATGCGTCATGATGACCATAGCGTGTCATTAATGTTTACAAACAAACGTCTACCCATGAGCCTGTGCATTTTTAGCGTGCGTTGTTATCGTCGCTTGGGACTCAATTCCCGCATGTGCACTGGTGAGAACCCTCTCGCTTTAAGTGTAATTTGTTTTTACTAAATCATATACATACCTTGTTCAACCATTCAGCTCTTTCTACATCAGGAAAATACACCTGTAATAAAAGACATAACAGATTATTCTTTTAATCACAGGTGATGTAAATTGTAAACAGTTCAATGACATCATTTGTTAATGTACTATAATTTGATAGATGTTGGCCTAGGTACAAACAAATAGACCATTTTCTGTTCACTGCGAGAATCACGCGTTATGCGTGAAATTGAACGTAAAAACAGGACAAACAAAGGTCATAGCGTCGTAGTGGTATCAAACATCGCGTGGGATTCGACAGACGCAAAAATATTTTGGGGGGCATTTCCATGCTTAATAATGTGCTGTACACATTTGATGATAGACAATTTTAATTAAGTGAGGGTATTCAAAAGCAATATTCCTCTGTCGAAGACCGACCAGTCGATGTGAGCTACGAAATAAAGAAATTAGAGTTCAAAATCAAATCGTTCGATTTTTGCAGCAGTCTTTCAGGCATCTCGCTAGATCTTGCAGTTGAACGGAAAATCACCTATTCAGTTGATGTCCACTTACTTACTGCATACATATAGATGCATGAACAATAGATTCATAACACAAAATCTCTCATCATTGATGACGCATGATTTATCTAAAGTAAAATATTACTGCATGAAAATAGGTGGTGCTTGTGCTGAATAATAATAATTTATTTTCATAACATCTGCTTTTATACAATACGATAGTATGACCTTTACATGCAAGAAGCCAGAATACTCTCTTTGTGCAAACAAATATAATCTCTATATTCAGATTTGACTATATGGCTTTTAGCTGAATTATTATTGAATTTAAATTACAGACTTCAACCACCAGAAACCTGGTGATGACCACCATTTGAAACAGCTGTTCACTGCATAGCAACGATGCACATTGCAATCAGCAGCACGAGTTACACTAAAAATACCCTGGATATTCCTATTGTAAACCAATATTGAATATGTGAGCGTAAAAGTGAAATACAACTGTGTTTGTACTACATACATGTATATAGTTCCATTGCTAGTTTGTCAGCTAAGTTGTTTAAATTTTTATAGCATATGTCAGTGTATTGTAGTACACTGTGCACAATTCGTTGTTGATTTAATTGACTATTGAGTGTATTTCATTTCGTGTTGAATAAAATATTTTATTTTATTCTGTATACATAAATGTTTTATGTACTGAGAAAAGAACAATACACTGTGTTTAATTTTAGCTTACCAGATGTTGCAGGCATATTTATTAGGTTTTAAATACAATGGTTTGTGATGGAATATTAGGTAAGTTTTTATTTAGGACATATTAGGAGACAATATGAAAGTGATTAGAACCTACTAAAATATGTAGTCTGTTGTTAGTACCAAGAATTGATCTAATTTGCATAATAGAAAATCATCACATCACTTAAGTACCATATGCTACATTGTCTAGTAAATATGATAATTAGTATCAAATAATAACATCTGGAATACTGTTGAATACTTTATTTTCGCTTGGAATTTATTTTCGCTATTTTCGCTGAAGGGATGTTTCCGTGAAAATAAAATCCAGCGAATATACTTTTTTTCCTATACTTCACATTAAACTCATAAAAAATCAGTAAAAATGAATTCCACACAAAACGCCCAAAAAGCCTTTTCAGTGAAAATTAATTCCAGCGAAAATAAAGTATTCCACAGTATATTATTATGCATTATGAAATTAGTAGTATAACACATTTTAATTTGTACAGATGAATATATACTAAGTAACAAGACAATTATTGACAATGTACATACAGTCCATATTTGGGTAAATCACTAAAAAATGTACATATTTGGGTAAATCACTAAAAAATGTACATATTTGGGTAAATCACTAAAAAATGTACATATTTGGGTAAATCACTAAAAAATGTACATATTTGGGTAAATCACTAAAAAAATGTACATATTTGGGTAAATCACTAAAAAAATGTACATATTTGGGTAAATCACTAAAAAAAATGTACGTATTTAGCTAAATCACTAAACAAATGTACATATTTGGGTAAATCACTAAAAAAATGTACATATTTGGGTAAATCACTAAAAAAATGTACATATTTGGGTAAATCACTAAAAAAATGTACATATTTGGGTAAATCAATAGGTGATTAATATGCAAAACGAATATAAATTGTCCCAGAGCATGTATGTTTCATCAAAATCCAATTAGTGGTTCTTTAAATATCAGTGGAAAGTCATGGAACAGTTAAAAATTAGCTAATTATCATGAAAATTAGGTAATTAATATGCATGGATTTAAACAAACACCTAATCAAATTTATGCATTAGCCTAGATACATGTATGGTCCTGGATATATCATTTGAACAGACGAATACACACACACACATACACATACATGTATAGACAGACTAACTGCAAAGACTCCAATTATGTGCTTCGCACACAACAATTGCCCTGGTCATTGTTGAAAAAAATGTAAAATTAATGATTTATTGCTTTCATCTCAAAATCGACTGGTGGTCGGCTATACATGTATATTGAATGAAATTACAAAAATGAAGGTGCTGATGTATCTCTTGATACACAACATATGTGCTGAAACATGTCGTGTTAAGCATTTGATCGTTATTATTGAAAACACTGATTATTGTATTATAGAAGTTTCTTAAATACTGTACTTTATATATTTGATTACATGTACCATTTTTGCTTTAAACCACGTCTATATAGACATGTTGGTGACACAAGTGCGAGCATGATAGAAAACACCACTTTATTACGCATTTCTATAATGTTAACTTTTG